CAGAGCGAGGAATAAATGTCATTAGTGATCTGAAGTTACAATGAAATTTGCAGAAAGGTGCTTTTTGGTAATTACATTTGCTGTAGCTATAGAAACTAGGAGCCCTTTCCGCTGTGACAGCTCCATGTAGCCAAAAGAATGGCATGGTAGACTAATGCAAGGCAAGGCATGGCCTGATTCAGACAATATCATTTTCCTTCTCTGTACACAAGCCATCTTGGCCATCCTCTGACACAGAGTTGCATGAAGAACCCTGATGTGTGAAGCAGGCAATCCAAAAGAGTGATGGTTAGAATACCAGGAACCAGAGCGGCATTCCTACCCACCCCCCACTCCACCCACCAGCTGCATGGTATCATGATCATTTTTAAAATTTCTATACCACCCTGTATCCAAGGATTACGTGGCGGTTTACAATATAAAAATGCAAAAAATAATAATAATGCATAACATATAAAGAAATGAAAACAATACCCCAAACGAACACAGTTTAAAGGCCAATGGTTGATTAATTAGCCAAAGGCCTGGGAGAAGAAGGATGTTTTTGCTTGGCGTCCTAAGATATGTGATGAAGGTGCCAGGCGAGCCTTCCTGGGGAGAGCATTTCACAAGTGGAGAGCCACCTAGTCACAGGTTCTCCACATTTCCACATCAGTTTGAGGATTTATTTTTTTTAAAGTCCTCATGAAAATTCATCTGCATTTTAATGCAACTTTGTCTTAATACAGTGGTACCTCAGGTTAAGTACTTAATTCGTTCCGGAGGTCTGTACTTAACCTGAAACTGTTCTTAACCTGAAGCACCACTTTAGCTAATGGGGCCTCCTGCTGCTGCCGCACCGCCGGAGCCCCATTTCTGTTCTCATCGTGAAGCAAAGTTCTTAACCTGAAGCACTATTTCTGGGTTAGCAGAGTCTGTAACCTGAAGCGTATGTAACCTGAAGTGTATGTAACCTGAGATACCACTGTATACACAATTTTGTATGAGATTTTGGCTCACATACATATTTTTGAAATGCATCTTTCCCCCTTTGTAATGCATTATTGTATAGCATTTCCACTGATACAGTCATGTTTATGCTCAGCCAGCAAATGCATTTCTCTATACGTTATTTGGCTGAAGAACTGCACTGCAAAATTCAGAGAAGTGGATAGCAGTGTGTCAGTTCATCTTTTGTTTTGGAAAGTGCAAACTGGGGTAGGTTTGGCTTTAAATGTGAGCTGAAAATATTTTTTCCCCCAGCCCATGGCTGATGGGAGTTGGAGAACCAGTTTCCCCCTACACCACTATGTGTTATCATTTACAATTGAAGTTCTAACATAGTCTCACCAGCATGTGATATGGCAGGCTGCACCAAACTGACCCCTTTATATTTTTACATATGCACTAGAGAAGATCCATCTGCTTATTTGAAGGGAAGGGATAGTGCTGAAACCCTCAGGTGTACATTAAGAAAAAGATTAAAAGGCACTCCCATAATTCACAGTGCTGGATTAAACCCTGTGGAGGCCACTAGGCAGTCAAAATCTTGCGGAGAGGGGGGGGGCTCGCAAATTATCTCCTAATACATATCTTATTTTACCAACCAACAATTTTAATAAACAAGTCTTATTAAACGGTTGTTGCAGGACCCCTAAAAGGCCGGTGCCTTTGGTAATTTAGCACTGATAATGAAAATACTGTATGAACACAAAGATTTCTGGACAGGCTATTAAAAAAAAAAAACACAGGGAGCACCCTTGGTAGAGATGCAGAAATTGTACCTATGAAAATTGTCTCTTAATATCTGCCACCTGAGGCAGCCTCACTCAATCTAATGGCAGAGCTAGCCACAAAAACTACCAACACTGGTTCATCCCAACAAATCCTGCATGCTTTCTCTTTATCTTTGCCCTTGACAGAAACCAAGAGGGACCTAGTCCACATCCATCCTCTCATAAGCATGAATTATTAAATTCGGGTAGCTCCCAGCTTCCAATGCAAAAGCTCGATCCTATGTTTCCAAGCTGGCAATTAGATGTCGATACCAGCAATGTGTATGGATAGCCACCCGGCCATCAATATTGCAGTGCTTTTAAAGAATCCTTATTTTTATTGCTCTGAATTTAAAACATTTTACAGTAAGGTCTGCCTAATGAAGCAAAACATTACAACAGTTCCTTTACACATTTCCATTACGGTGGCAAATGATAGGGGAAGCCGCACCAGCACAGGAGGCCCTGACTCAGCAGAGTGAGAGATAATAATAGAAAATAAAACCTGCTTTTCAATATTCCATTGCTTTTTTCACAGACCATTACTTGGGATCACCTTCTGACACCTCCTCTTATGTTTGCCTGCCTTCAGGCTGAAACCTCATATCCCGACATTGCACATGTTCATAGGGAAGGCTGTGCTACTGAAGCCAAACCGACTCCTCTAACTCAGGTGCATGGCAATGAATCTGCCGAAATGCTGAAGGCTTAGTGAGAAAATTTAGCACATAGTCAGCTAAATTATACCAAGACAGACCATTGGCCCAGCTACCTCAGTAATGTCTATTCTGATTGGCCATGGCTCTCCAGGGTTTCAGGCAGCATGAATCTTTTCTTAGTTCTACCTTGAGATACCAAGGATTGAATCTGCTACCTTCTACATACAAGACAGAGGTTCAAGCACAGAGCTATTGCCCTATTCCCCAAATCCAAGGCTGCTCCCTGCCCCCTTGTCCACATTAAGACCTTTCTTGCTGCCAAACTGCTCATTTATTAAGCAGAGAGACCCATATTATGGCTCCACCACCAAGGGAGGTGCATTGTGTCATAGTTTGAGAAAGCGCCTTCTGTGTAGTGCCCCCCACTGCCCCCCTCTTGAATGACCTCCTTTAGAATAAGTGTGTGGCACTGACGTTACTTTAGTTTTGGCAAAGATGCATCTTCTCATCCAAGGCTCACTGAGCCAGCAGGTCCTATGCCCCAGAATCTGCCCAGCCTACTACCTGGAGGCAGGGCCAGCCAAGGACAGTATGGCCCCTGAAGCAAACCACAAAATGGCGTTCCCCTCCCTTCCAGGGAAAAAGCAGTGAGTGAAGATCTACCTCAGGAACAAGGGTGGAACACAGGAGCCAGGTCCTAAGGGTTGTGGGGGCTTCAGCTCCCACAATAAAATATTTGAGGGGGCTGGGCCCCCACAAAGTTGATGGGCATTCCCATTCAAATGGAGGGTGTACACTGTGTCATGTGATAGATTATGCAGGACAGGGCTTACCTGGGCCCCCACAATAATTTATTCAAGATGGCACCCCTGGGATGGAATAAAGATCTGCTGCCCCTATGGATCCTGCCGCCTGAGCTGTTTTCCTCACTTTGTCTTATGGGTGGGCCAGCCCTGCCTAGATGTGGGGAATGACTTACTATAGACCACCCTAAGGAAGATAAAACCACCAGGCCTCTAAGCCTCAGAATGGTAGCTCAGATGTTTCTGATGCTAAGCCTGAAACAAGCCACCAGCTACCCAAGGCTGTTCACCCTCTTGAAAGTTTCACTGGAGATGCTGAAAGACACAATTAAAGCATACTGCAATGTATGACTCAATGTATGTCATTCTTTTAAAAAACTTTACACCTTCACTCAAGTGGCAGGGCCCTTATCAGACCCTGAGCAGAGAGAGACAGGACTCAAATGTGATCATTGACTAAAGGGTGTCTACATGAGGAAAACTCTAGGGTTAGATATGCATCTGATGTACACCAAGGCACCAGCTATTCAGCATATCCCAGGTGCATGAACACAGAGGTGGTGAACACAGTCTGTGCCACATTAATTGGAAAAACAGTGCATGATTCTCCAAGCCCATGTACCTGTAGTGCATGATTTAAAGGGATTGTCTTATTTTAGTTCTGCTTTAATTACCTAGAGGAAAGGCCTGTTCAGATACTTTTAAAAGAAATGTAACATGTTGAATATGCTGTGGTACATCAGGGTGAGTGTGCCATCCTCATAAAACAACAGTATCATTTTTTTTCTGCGTCCAGCATAACCTTATAACTCTATGCAGCCTCATTCACCTGTATTTTTCTGCCCTCGTTTCTCAATATATCCCTGCTGGAAATCTTTGCTCCTTTAACTGTGCTGCCTTCATCCACCCCAACACCACCTGCTTTCTTGACTGAATAACTCAAATAATTCAAAACCCCAGAAGCATTTTCAGCAAGACCATGGATTTGAACTCATGACTTTCTTGCCCTCCAACCAACCCTTCTCTATCAGCTCATTTCTGAACAAAAAAAATGTACAAGATGAGATTCATCTAGCAAAAAAAAATAAAAAAATGGATCCAGCGGCCAGCAAGCTTCTTTCATCTTTCTGCAATCAGACAAATCCCCATTTAGACACTTACTGTAAATGGAGTCTATGCCCTCTAAGCTTATTTTACTGTCTTAAAGCCAGACAGGCTTTCAAGGTTGAAATCCAGTTCTTTGCTGAGTGAACTACCTAATGCCAGAGAAGCTGAGGTGATTGACACTCCATCCCCTAATAACTTTCCTACAAATTAAGCCTTTTGCTTTAACAGTTATTTGGGAAACATACTTGTCTTATGTAGATAGCATGTAGGGCAGTCTCCCCAACCAGGTGCCCTCCAGATGTTGCTGAACTACAACTCCCATCATCCCTGACCATTGGCCAGGCTAATTGAGGTTGATGGAAGTTGTAACCCAACATATGGACAGCATCGGCTGGGGGAGACTAATTTATGAAGCCATGTTCTGCGTAAGAGAACCAGCATTACAGACTATAAATAGAGTAAAACGCTAATGACAGATGTTCTCAAGGGTTGAAGAAGCTGCCATGAGGATCTCCATGTCAGAGTTCAGGGGCAACCTCTGTCTTTGATATAGTCACTATATTGAAAACAAATGGAAGGGGGCAAATGTATACCCTGATTATTTGTTGTAAATACTTTTAATATCTTAGGACAATGTTGTAATGTGAAAACCTTCACCCTTTTTTTCTTTTTTCTTTATAAAAGAAAGGATATGTGGCTTTGGCATACATAGCCATTGTATTGGCCCAATGTAACTGTTCACAGCAATAGTTACGCAGTTTGTAGGATCAGTGCCAGGTATGATATTTACAAGAGCATCCGACCCGCACGGGGAAAGCACCATCACTTCCCTCCTGGAAAACATGCAATTCACAGCTTTCCAAAATCCTGAACCCATGGCTCCTCACTGCCAGGAGAGCAGCAGTGAGGGTATTTTAGAAACCACCCTGGACTTCAATTCAGTTTGTTCTTCAAATTTCCGTGGGCCTAAGGCAGCAACCCAAGCACACTGGGTGGCAGCGCTGGCTGCAAACAAATTATACCTCCAGATTCATGCCTGTTACATTACTCGAGATACAGAGGCTGCCAACTTATTGGGGACCATGACACATTTGCAAATGAGCGAAACACTTGTGGGCAACACGCATATGCTGCAACCAAGCACACACACAGAGAGAGCAATATATCCTATTGGCTACAAGACAATGGTTCCTTCAAGCCAAATTAAAGCAGTGCGGGAGGACGCTGTGGTTCCGAGGGATACAGCTGTGTGGTTGAAACCATGGGTGCTCATGGGTGCCAGATTGGCACTCCCTTCTGTAGAAAACAAGCATATGAACCACCTCTTTGTTCCTCAGCTTTATCACACTTTTTGCCATCTCATTGATGCCAGATTGCCACAGGAATATTTTATATAATTTATCCTCTTCAGATGGCATTTTGTTTCCATTGGCGGGGGGTTGCGGAAGGAAAACAACAAAGTCAAGTGAATCATGACAAAGGCAGTACCAGCATGCAGGCTGTAAAATGCAGAGAGAACAGACTAGGCCGCTGCCTTCTCAGAGATGTTTGTGAGAGGCCATTAAGCTATCCTAAGCAATTGAGGACTCATGCTATGAATTGCCATCTCTTATTAGTATTAGATATGATTCATACTAATACTCAGTAAACAGTGTAAATAACAACATGGGAATGTTAGTACGGAAAGGGAATGAAAGACAAACGGAAGCAGCCTGGCCAACAAATATTCTCAAGGCCTTTCCTGTGACAATTACAGAAGAGCTCTGTGAAAGCAAGATGTCCCTGGCCATCAGTCTCACTCACTGTTTGCTACACTGGTTTCATTAGCTATTACATCAGACTTAATTTTCTTAATTGGCTTTAGCTCTGCAGTTTAGAAACTGCTCACATTCCGTGGTCTTGCACATGCTGTTGAGTCCCAGTCATATCCCCTCATACATGCTTTAAAAACACACACACAAAAACTTATGAAACTTGGTTCAGGTCTACAGCACTCTACTATTATTCCTACTACATTTATTAGATGCTTACTACACAAAAGGGTTGTATCCAATGTAGTGTTTAGTAAGAGCTCATCTACACTTCCGCTTGACTTGCCACTTTCCTCTGGGAAAACAACTCCGAGCAAATATCAACCAGGTTTTCTGTGGACTGATGTTTGCTGCGATTCCACGGTAAACAGCAGGTTTTCCTGGAGAAAGTGGTGGAGCAAACTGAAAACCTCTTGGACCCATTTCTAGAAAGCATGGGATAAGCGGAAAACCACTAAGACCCATGCTTTCTAGGCATGGCACAAGCAGAAGTGTGAACAAGCCCTAACTGTCCTGTCAGCATAAGGATTTTCAGCATAAGGACGATTCCCAATATCTCCAAGCAACTTGCTATGCTATCTACACTATCAGTTTGTAAATTTCACTGAATGTATCAATGTGTGTGGATGCAAGGTCGATAGCAATTACTGTCTCAGTTGCCTCATGCTCCCTTTCTGCTTTTCTTTTTTAAAATTTATGCCTCCCACCCCAAGCTGAGTTGGAAGTTCATTGCACAAAACACATTGAAACAAAGGGGATGAGGAGGAGAAGGTCTCAATAAACTGTTGTGCCCCTGCATTGCGAAATACAAGCTAACTATAGACATGAGCCCAGCAGACATGAACCAATCAAAGATGGGCACTTTTAAGTACTATTGATTTCAGCAGGCAATATCGAAATGCATAGGGTGGTGGTCAACATTAGTCCTACTCAGTGTAGACCCCAATGGGTCTTCTCTGAGCAGGACTCAATTGAGTATAAAACACACACATTGAAATCAAAGTGTGCTAATGTTTACTGGGTAATGTTGACTACTGTGGGTTATCTCCATTTCCAGGTCCAGTGTAGCCTGACTACTAGGAATCAAACTTGTACCATTCAGCATCCTTACAGGAGTTGGGGTGGGGTGGGGGCAAATCTTTCTCCACAGGGGCTGCTCAGTCACTCTGAGCCAATGCTTAATATTGCTCAATAATCCTCTCAATCTTTTGCTAGGCGCATCATGCAACAGACATTATTTCCTAAAACATGCTAAAAATAGGTCAGGAGTCATCTTTTTTATCCATTAATATGACGTTACAAAATATAAAGCAAGGACCGCACAGTCACAGACACAAGGGCCACCCGAGCTGCGAGCCCCATGATCTGTAGGTGACACTAAGTACAGACTGACAGTTATCAGCTTCCTGCTGTCAGCCCAAGATTCAGGGGGCGGGGGGGGGTGCTTTGAGGGACAATCTGGGCTAAGCAGAGATTTCATCTGCATCTGGACATTCGGCTTCATGAATTAGAACATTTACAGACATAATGGAAAGATTCAGACCGGATTAGACACAAGCCACAAAGTTCACATCTGGGTCTCTTGTCCAGACTGGCAGCTAGGATGGCAAGCCAAGAGGCAGGCCAGTGTGTCTCAGGTTGCCTAAGAAGGAGTTCTGCTCCACCTGCAACAAAAGAGGGGAAACCAAGCCAGACACCAGACATGCAAGTGGGACCCCATGGGATTCCTCAGGTCAGCTAATGCTGCTCAGCTGGGAAGCTGTAATACACCGCCTGCTGATCTGCAGAGCACAGTGATCTGTTCTGCCACTGAATACACAGGCTAACCCTAACCCTTAAAAGGCCTGCTGTGAATGTCAAGCAGACAACTGTGCACAGCACCCCTTCTCAAACTACAATTCACAGTATTTTTTGGACAGTATTCTTGTTCAATGATAAAGAAAGCAGTTTCTGCACATGCTATAGAAGGAAGTGAGGGGCAGATGGGGCTCATCAACCTGGGAAGGTAGCCCATCTAGGAGAAGGAAAACTCTGGTCCTAAGCCTCTGTTGCCTTGTGGGACATCTTTGGGAGAAGAAAAAGCTTAGGAGTAAACCCTACACAAATCCAGAGTGGGGTCCCTGAGACAGTTTGATAGTGCCTTGTACGCCTCCTTCCAGCAACTCCTGCAGCCAAGTTGATGCCAAATGCATTGCTCTGCTTTCTTTTGGACCACATCAGCAAGGCTGAGAGGGGAGTCTTGTCATCTGGGCAGTCCAGGACCTCCATACACACTGCCGAGGTTTGCGCTCTGGGGAGGTCACTTTGGTGTTGCTAATACAGCGGTTTGTCTTCACCCCTGGGGGTGCACTCCATTGTCTCTTGGGACAGAAGGATACCACCAACAGCAATTCAGTATCATTTTAGCAAGATGCAAATCCTGTGCCCAAAAACCAGCCGGCTGCACGCAGTCGTGAACTTCTGTAACAGAGGCTACTGCGGGAATAAACAGCTCTAGCAAATGTCAGAGGTTCACTGTGGTGAAGCTGGTTTGTAAAGCTCAGGCATAAAAACTAGGCATTGCCAATAGATCTAGTGATCTCATCTAGCAAGGCAATCAATGGAGGGGGCAGGAAAGACTTTGCAGGCTTGTTTTTTTACTGCAACTTTATGTGTTGAGCTGCAGTTCAGTGAAGGTTGTGGTGTTTCACTCAGTAAAGGCCTTCATGTCCTAGATCTCAAAGAAAGTGGGTTTTATTCTGACAGTATTTAGACCATTTTTTTGGTCTAAATTGACGTTCGGCCATAAATGTGTCCAAACTTGAACAGGTTTCTGAACTGTGGAACTTGAAGGCTTGAAACTCTCCTCGCTGCTGTAAAGTAGGTTGGAACCGCGTTGCTGTATGTTTTACTGTTTTTATGGCAGCTGAGGGACATTTACACCTAGAAATACTGGACACTTTATTTCCGGTCAGCTTTTTCATTGCCAGCACATGTGAGCCTATACTTTATGTTGCACTTATGTCTCGGCGCAGTCCATTACCTCCTTACGCCTTCTAAGCGGTGCTGCCTGTAGGAACACCTTCGTTTTAAGATTTAAGAGGCGGGTTCCTGTTGTAGAAGTTCAAACAACTCAGCTTTGTTTTCTGCCAGGTTGCTGGGGACATTTTTTTAACGTAGGTATACTAGTTCCCCTCCAAGCTAAGGTTGTCAATGTTTTCCTAGCAGGGCAACTGTGTCTTGCAGATATTTTTGCAGGTTTGGCTTTTCCAAGTGTGCAATTCACCAGCTAACTTTCAAAGCAGTTTTCCCTAGTATAATGCATTTTTCTATGTTCTTTTCACTAATATATGCAATTGTATGGTCACTTTACCCTGGTATATTCACTTTTGAACACTGTACCTGGCCTGGCAAAATTTGGAGAAGTGTGATTTCTGTTCGTCTTTTGCTTTGGAAAGTGCAAATTATACAGTTTCACCTTTAAATGTGAATTGAATGGAATCCCCCCATGCCTAGTTGGGGTGAGCAGGTTTACCGCAACTTCAGCCTCTAGCCACTTTGGAATAGAATAAGCCAGCAGCTGGACTGTGGTGGTGGCCCAAAGGGCCACAATAAATATAATAATGTGAACCCCTATAAATCCTTGAGTGTGCTTCTAATAGAGAAGTTATGGTGAGGCAAGGAAAGAAGGGCTACCCTTATGCTATTCATATAATCAGTTATCAGTAATCAATATATTCATATATGCTCACACATAATCAGGGCTTACAGTATTTTTATAATCCATTTTGAATCAAAGGAAAGCTTTTGCCTTAGCTAACAGCAAACTGCTTGGAACAGCAACTTTAGAACCGACCTTTCCCCTAGAAACATCCTTGTACCCTGAACAAAGGGGAAGACATGAATCAGAGACACTGGTACAAAATCCCCCTCAAATGCAGGCTAAAATAATCCACAGAACAGGAAGGGCCAAACCACAAAAACTCCAAAACTCCCTGTTCTGTCAGAACTGGGGGAAAGGTCAGATTGTGCATCATTGTGCATCATTTGTGCAGACAACGGAAAGCAGAAGTTGGGAGTAGAACTCTGCACTTGACCAGGAGTCGTAAGCATGGCAAGAAGCACGCTAATTGGCTAATTTTCGCTGGCGTTTGTGACTGTCTCATGACTGTCTCATGATCTGTGATTTGCTGTGATTTGCTCAGGATTTGTCTTTCTCGGGGTCCCAGTTCTTTGGAAGAGATTCCAACTGGGTCCTTATTGCTCAGCAATAAAACCTCACCTTCTCTTTCTCCAAAAAAGCTGTGTCTGCCTGATCCTTGTTCACTCTAAGTGGGTACCAACTATACTTTCACGTGCTTCAACGGTAACCTGTTGCTCTATGAAACTGACGATTTTTTCAAGCCTCCATTGGGGCAGAAGTACAGCTAATATGTGAATCACAAAGACACAGCTCATAAGCTAGAACATAAGTTGATCCATGGTCAAATGGCTATGCGGTTCCCAACATGCAGACTAACACAATGGAACAGAAATTTGAACTTTTACCAGGGAAGAATGGCAGATGAAGCTGATGGATTACATGGAATTGGCGGAAATGACTGGCAGAATCCGAGACCAGGGAGAAGAGTCGGTGGAAGAAGATTGGAAAAAATTTAAAGTATATTTACAGAAATATTCTAAAATTAATGAATGTTAGAAGGATGCTGGAAAGAAGCTATATGACTTTAGTAGAAATACTATAAAGAATTAAGTATGACTAGATCAACATTGGGTAAAGGTGTAAATTTAAGGTTAAATTGTGTTAAGATAAATTATGGAACTAAATTTGAGAAAGAGGGAAAGGACTTGCTGGAATAATTAATTGAACTAGAATACAAAAAAGGAGGTGTGAGGAAGTCGAGGAAATAAGCAAATGAAAGATAAGGATATGAAAATACGGGGTCCTTTTTATTTTTGTTTATTCTTTTTTGGGTTTTTTAAATGCTTTTGTTTTTTCTTCTTTTCCTTTTTTGTATTGTTGACGTTTTGTATTACTGTATTTATTTTTGTTTCTGAGGTTTTGTAATTGTTTATTGTTTATATTTTTCTTTTGTTCCTTTTTTCTTTTCTTTGTAATGTTTAAACTTTAATAAATATCTTATAAAAAAAGAAAAAAAAGAAATTTGAACTTTTAACAGAGAGCGCTGGGAATCAGAGCTGAATCAAGAGAAATTTCTAATGCTTATTGTGCATGTGTATTAAACATGAAATGAGGTAATGATGTACATGATTGTTGAAAATTGAAATCCTTTGTTTAAAATGTTATAAATACCACCGCCCGGACCCTTGGGCCGGGTTGCAGTTTTGCAAAACAATTTGACTGCAACCTATTGCCTAGCAATAAACAACAATAGACTCCTAACTCCTTGTCTCTGAGTTTTATTGGTGTAAACTCAGAAGATAAGCCATTTTTGGCTTACAACAGGAATAGGACCTGGGAGCTGTGCTAAAACACACATTTCTGTATAGCCTGGGAAGTGTGTTTTCTTTACACTTTGGTGTCACCGCTGTGCGTTTTTTTTAATCGTCACACATATCTCACTCTCAGTTTAGTCAGAATTCTGCATCGGCCGGCAAGCTTACAAAACCCTTGTATATCAGCCTGGTTTAATCCCCACACTATAGCGGGCAGGGGGTTCGGTAGCAGTTTCCCTGCTCCAAGAAGCTTATAATAAAAACCACCGTACACAAAGCATTCCACAGAAAAAGTAATAATCCAACATTCTCTGCAAATTCAGTGCATGCTGTCGAATGAGAAAATAGGAGCTACACTTAGCCGGAAGGTGTACAGACCATTGTCAATGCTCAGACACACAAACAGCATTTCAGAGACCTGTTTGTTTCTCGCCATTCAGGGGGCCACTCACATCCACAACACACAGAACCAATGGCAATGCTGACCTCTGAACGAGACGTCACATATACGGAAAGCCCTAATGTACCCAAAGAAGCCATGGGCTCAGACAATCCCTATAGACATTCACAGAAAGAACGCCTCCTTCCACTTTCCCAGGCGCTGCATTAAACCTAAAGAGAAATAAACCGTTGCTGTTGCTGCTTATTTGCCATCAGGACTGCAATACTTTAAGGACTGCCTCTCTGCACAGAAAGTATCCCAGACTCTGCGTTCCTCATCTGAGGCCTTTCTTTGTGTGCCTCCTTCCACATGAGGTTCATGTTGTTGGAGGGAGGAGGGATTTAAAAATTTAAATTAAAAAAAATCAATCCTCCTGTCAGGCTGGCAATATCCCCTCACTCCACCATTCTTCAGCAGAGTTTATTTTCTTTCGGCAGAGTACTGTATATGTCAAACAAAGCTTTAATGATAAAGAAAATTGTAACACAACAACGTAGTGTCTGAGAGTATCTAAAACTACACGAGGCAAGAATGACAGCTGCCCCTCCAACTGAACTTCAGTGAACACCAGAAGGAGACAATGAACACAAAAGCCCCACCCACCAGGTGACAGACATTCCACTAATCAAATTAGGCCCCCTTTTCTTCCTTACAGTTTGGAGGGTGGCAATATTAAAACGGGCCTTCTCTGTGGTGGCTCCCCATTTCTGGAATGCTCTCCCCGGGGAGGTTCACATGGGGTCTTCATTATATAATTTCAGGTACCAGGCAAAAATGTTCCTCTTCAACCAGGCCTTGGGCTGATTGATATTCTGCAGCCTTTTAAATGTGTCTGTGGGGAGGGAAGGTTGTTGTTTTGTTGTTCTGTTTTACTTATTTGCTTGCGTTTTTATCTTGTATTTTATTCTGTAAACTGCCCTGAGATCTTATGATGAAGGGTGGTATATAAATTTAATAAATAAAGTAATGTTATGTTATGTTATGTTATGTTGTTATGTTATGGTATAACAGGGGTGCCATATTTCAAAAAGTGAAACCTTGCTGAGCATTTATTTTTTTTTTGCTAAATCTCAATGAGTATGGGTTTCAATATGTCCAGATTTTCACTGACATTATAGCACATTCTGCAGAGACACTGTTTTTGACTGCGGTATTCCAACTATGTCCAGGAAACTCTGGACATATGGTGAACCATATTAATATAATATAATATAATAATATAATATAATATAATATAATATAATATAATATAATATAATAATATAATATAATATAATAATATAATACTGAGAAAGGTCTGTAGCCAGCGCCAGATTAAGGGCCGTGTGGACAGTCCCTCCACAAAGGGCACTGAGCTGAGGTGGCACAAAATAATAAAAATAAAACCTATATTTATACAGTTTCCTACTACGAAGATCCAACTGTACCAAAAAGAATGATTGTGAAAATATGAAGTATTGGGAGGATGCCAATTTTTTGTCCTTGCTAAGGGCGCCATATTACCACAGTCCACCCCAGTAGTACAGCATCTGCTTTGCACACGGAAGGTTCCAGATGCAACCCCTAGGGTAGGTCTGGGATTTGAATGCCTGGAGTTGCTTTTCTGTCTATTTCTGGCATGGACAACTTTTTCCCAGAGCCCCTGCCCCTCTCCCAAAGTGGGTGGAAGGAGGCATTTCCAGGCATGGGCATGTGTAGTGGTGATCTGAACCAACAGCTTTGTGAGATCCATCAAAGCTATGAGATACTTGAGGCTTCATTAAGAGGCTGCATGAATCCAGCTCTTCATTTGTGTGAACGCAACAGCTATGCTAGACATTTCATATCATGTCAACACACTGTCAATGGACTGCAAGCTTATTGCGATAAGTGTAACACTTGATAATAACCATCAATTTTGCAGATGTGATTTCTTCTCATCTCTTCATATCAGGATGTGTTTTCTCTCCTCCCCACTTTCATTCACTTAGGAGTTTATTCAGAGACAGCTGTCAAGTGGAAGAAGCAAAGCAGTTTCACTACATGGATGTGTTCTATTCGTATAATGGAACAATTGTCTCAAGGCCATTAATTTTTATTTTACAACTGCTCAGTGTAGCAACAGAAAGCTGGGGCCAGATAATGCTGTATCTTCCTTAGAAAAGCCAGACAGGGAAACTAGCTAAACTCCCTCAATTAGATTTGGGATATACAAACTAGTCCCCATTTAGATCCATAATATGTTTCTTTGATGTTGTCAGATCTAAGCTGAACTAACGGGAAATATGCGTATGATTAATAGGACCATATTTAGCCTGACGGAATGGAACAACTTTCCAAACCCCCGGCAACATTAGCTTAGTAAATTAGCAGTAGCAAAGTAAAATAAGACACTTTGCGTTGCTGAGGACCAAAATCCAAAGGGCTTCAGTAGCAGAGCATATGCTCAGAGGCACTGATTTGGAAGAAGTTGTGCTTGTGTCCCTGCGGTTCTGGAAAAAAAGAGCTGGACTTATGCACAGATTAATGGTCATTTCATATATTATGCCACAACAAACCTGGGTTTGCCATGAAGTGTACATAGAGTATATCATTTCAATCATTTCTACCTTACTGGAATGATGCAGCTACAAAATACACATTTCTTGTTACATTTGTCACTTTTCCAGAAGGCCTCTCAGAATGCTACGTCAAAACATAGACTAAATCTGAGGCGTTTGGGGCTAGGATGAAATGGTGATGCACCACAGCAAGTTGCCTTCAGGAACACCAGCAAGATTCCTCCCCTCACTCCTCTGCAAAGCCACATCCCACTACCCCCCACCAAAACTTCATTGCCTATGGGTGAGGCGGAAAGGGCAGGGATATGGGTTCGCCACAACTCTCTGCATGCACTCAAAAGCATGTATTTCTGGAGCAGAAGTCTTGCAATCAAAATTATCTCAGCTTTTATACCATAGGTTGATTTGGCTTTAGAGCTGCAAAGTACAGTGGAACCTCGGGTTACAGATACTTCAGGTTACAGACGCTTCAGGTTACAGACTCTGCTAACCCAGAAATAGTACCTCGGGTTAAGAACTTTGCTTCAGGATGAGAACAGAAATTGCACGGCGGCGGCAGCGGGAGGCCCCATTAGCTAAAGTGGTACCTCAAGTTAAGAACAGTTTCAGGTTAAGAATGGACCTCCAGAATGAATTAAGTTCTTAACCCAAGGTACCACTGTATTAAAATATCCGCCCTCATGAACCAAACCCCCCTTTCTCAGAGCCTTATAGATGCTTTCGCCCATTTACTCATTTACACATAATCATAACAGTGGAAAACTTGTTTTCTCTCTCTTTTTAAGGAAAGCAGGTATTGGGTGTGGAAGAGCAGCCTTGCTTTCACCCACAATGTGAGCCCAGGTTCTCAGTCTGAAAGACGGAGAGGCCA